TCTTATTTACTACCGTCGTCCTAAGTAAACAAGATGCATAATACATAATAAACATCACATGCAATTATATAGTTGTGACATGATATGGCCAATATCATATAGCTCCATTGATCTTCATCTTCGGGGCTCCATGATCATCTTGTCACCGGCTTGACACCATGATCTCCATCATCATGATCTCCATCATCGTGTCTTCATGAAGTTGTCACGCCAACGACTACTTCTACTTCTATGACTAACGTTTAGCAATAAAGTAAAGTAGTTTACATGACGTTATTCAATGACACGCAGGTCATACAAAAAATAATGACAACTCCTATGGCTCCTGCCGGTTGTCATACTCATCGCCATGCAAGTCGTGAATCCTATTATAAAGAACATGATCTCATACATCACAATTCATCATTCATCACAACTTCTGGCCATATCACATCACATGATCAATCGCTGCAAAAACAAGTTAGACGTCCTCTAATTGTTGTTGCATCTTTTACGTGGCTGCAATTGGGTTCTAGCAAGAACGTTTTCATACCTACGAATCACCACAACGTGATTTTGTCAACTTCTATTTACCCTTCATAAGGGCCCTGTTCATCGATTCCGCTCCAACTAAGGTGGGAGAGACAGACACCCGCTAGCCACCTTATGCAACTAGTGCATGTCAATCAGTGGAACCGGTCTCACGTAAGCGTACGTGTAAGGTTGGTCCGGGCCGCTTCATCCCACAATACCGTTGAGCAAGAAAAGACTAGTAGAGGCAAGTAAGATGACAAAATCCACGCCCACAACAAAGTTGTGTTCTACTCGTGCAAAGAGAACTACGCATAGACCTAGCTCATGATGCCACTGTTGGGGAACGTTGCAGAAAATTAAAATTTTTCCTACGGTTTCACCAAGATCCATCTATGAGTTCATCTAAGCAACGAGTCTAGGGAGAGAGTTTGCATCTACATACCACTTGTAGATCGCGTGCGGAAGCTTGCAAGGTGATGATGTAGTCGTACTCGACGTGATCCAAATCACCGATGACCAGCGCCGAACGGACGGCACCTCCGCGTTCAACACACGTACGGGAAGGGAGACGTCTCCTCCTTCTTGATCCAGCAAGGGGGAAGGAGAGGTTGATGAAGATCCAGCAGCACGACGGCGTGGTGGTGGATGCAGGGCGTCACAGCAGCAGGGCTTCGCCGAGACTACGAGGGAGAGACGTAACGGGGGGAGGTGGAGGCGCCAGGGGCTGGTGTGTGAAGTCCCTCCTCTCCCCCACTATATATAGGGGTGCCAAGGGGGGGGCGCCGGCCCTAGTAGATGAGATCTACTAGGGGGGGCGGCGGCCTAGGGGAGGTTTCCCTCCCCCCCAAGGCACCTAGGGGTGCCTTCCACCACTAGGACTCCTCCTAGGGGGAAACCCTAGGCGCATGGGCCTATAGGGGCTGGTGCCCTTGGCCCATGATGGCCAAGGCGCACCCCCTACAGCCCATGTGGCCCCCCGGGACAGGTGGCCCCACCCGGTGGACCCCCGGGACCCTTCCGGTGGTCCCGGTACAATACCGATAACCCCGAAACTTGTCCCGATGCCCGAAATAGCACTTCCTATATATAATTCTTTACCTCCGGACCATTCCGGAACTCCTCGTGATGTCCGGGATCTCATCCGGGACTCCTAACAACATTCGGGTTTCTGCATATCCATATCTTCATAACCCTAGCGTCACCGAACCTTAAGTGTGTAGACCCAACGGGTTCGGGAGACATGCAGACATGACCGAGACGCTCTCAGTCAATAACCAACAGCGGGATCTGGATACCCATGATGGCTCCCACATGCTCCTCGATGTTGTCATCGGATGAACCACTATGTCGAGGATTCGATCAAACCCTGTATGCAATTCCCTTTGTCAATCGGTACGTTACTTGCCCGAGACTCGATCATCGGTATCCCAATACCTTGTTCAGTCTCGTTACCGGCAAGTCACTTTACTCGTACCGTAATGCATGATCCCGTGTCCAACACCTTGGTCACATTGAGCTCAATATGATGATGCATTACCGAGTGGGCCCAGAGATACCTCTCCGTCATACGGAGTGACAAATCCCAGTCTCGATCCGTGTCAACCCAACAGCTACTTTCGGAGATACCTGTAATGCACCTTTATAGTCACCCAGTTACGTTGTGACGTTTGATACACCCAAGGCACTCTTACGGTATCCAGGAGTTACACGATCTCATGGTCTAAGGAAGAGATACTTGACACTTGCAAAGCTCTAGCAAAACGAACTACACGATCTTTTATGCTATGCTTAGGATTGGGTCTTGTCCATCACATCATTCTCCTAATGATGTGATCCCGTTATCAACGACATCCAATGTCCATAGTCAGGAAACCATGACTATCTGTTGATCACAACGAGCTGGTCAACTAGAGGCTTACCAGGGACATAGTGTGGTCTAAGTATTCACACGTGTATTACGATTTCCGGATAATACAGTTATAGCATGAATAAAAGACAATTATCATGAACAATGAAATATAATAATACTTTTATTATTGCCTCTAGGGCATATTTCCAACAAGCCCGTCCTCGTTGGCGTGCAGGTATGCGTCGTGCACGCGGCTGCGCAGCCGCGCCCACGTTGTGGACGTGATGGAACTGACTCATTGGTCGCCGGAGAGCAGAGACGGGGGGATGCTGCGCGGGTGTGTCATGTACTGAAGGTTCAGTTGCAGCTGTCGACAGTTCAGTTATGTGGAGCGTCATGAACTGAAGGTTCAGTGTAGCTGTCCATTTATTCAGTTATGACAGCATCTCTAGCAGACCCTTATACCGCGTCGACCGCAAAATAACCACAAGTTTATGGTTTGGCGCGAAAAATAACCCGAACAGACACCGTAAACACGTTCGACCATTAAAATTTTTTGAGGGGCACGGTATGCCCCCTTCGACCCGCAAAAACCCAGTTCCGCCGCCCCATCAGTGCCCTGTATCTCACGAAAGCGGATGGCGGGAGGGACATTTCAGCGCGCACGTTCCCAACATCCCCTCCCACAACCGCCCGCCACCGTCGCCGCCCGACTGCCGCTTGCGATTCCGGCCATTTCCATCGACGGAATGATGCCGCTGGGCCGCACTACACCCGGGTCCACCGCGCCGCTTCGCCAGCGCCCCGGATCCGCCGAGCCGACCCGCCCCCGAGTCGCCGCCCGCCCCGAATTCGTCGAGCCGCCCCCGGGTCACCGCCGCCCTGGATCGACCACATCGGTTGAGCCCCCTTTTCTGCCCCTTCTAGATCGACCGTAGGTGATGAAATACCGTTTGATGCGAGCTCGGGTGCGGTTTTTGTAGATGGATTTGAGACCTTGCGTGGAATTTTTGCTCGAGGATTGGTCCTCGTCCGACGACGTGGACGTAGAGTCGATGCTCGAGCGCCATCGGCAGCAGATGATGGTGGCAGTCCTTTCATGGAGCATGACATTGATCCAAAGAAGATGGTGCTGGATGGGAAGGTTGGTGGGTTGACATCGAACCTTTCTGACCGTGTGTGATGAAGGTGAGGGATCCAAAGGTAAGGCTCCCTGCTAGCATGGAGCTCCCAGGAGCGATGAGGGAACCAATATGGATTCGGTCTCCGACCAGCACAACCCCTGTCTGGCGCGCCAACTGGCGGTTCAGCAAATTGTCAGTACTCTCAGTGGGGTAGTGAATGCGGCCAGGGGGAGGGGGGGAGGGGTTCTTCATAAGGGGGTTACCCAGGTTCGGGCCCTCACGGTTGATGTCTACTAGAACTACGTCAGTATTTCCCCAAAGAGGAATGGATGATGCAGCACAGCGACGGTAGGTATTTTCCTCAGTGATGAGAATATTCCCCTATTCCTTCTTATTTTAACTGATTGTATTCCATATGGAATAAGAGGAGAACAAAAGCATTCCACGACCTGCCAAGGGGCTGTTAAAAAAAAAGAAAGCTCTTCCTTGAATTTACTTTATTTTTATTCCTTTTTCGAACTCCAACCAAAGTAGATTCGAAGACGAGTCACTTCAATTATCCTTAAGGTTATCGAACCAGTAGGAGAACCAAGCAACACTATGTAAACAACACCTGCACAGAAATAACAAAATACTCGCAACCCGACGTGTTAAAGGGGTTGTCAATCCCTTTCGGGTAACGGCGTTAGAAATTGGCAAACGGACATGAGAGAGTTGTAAATATTGATAGTTCGAATGCCAAATAAAATAAAGTACAGTAAGGTATTTTTTATATTTTTAGTTTAATAGATCTGAAAATAAGAACAAAGAAAAATAGATCGCGAAGGCAAATATATTAAAGAAGAGACCCGGGGGCTGTAGCTTTCACTAGTGGCTTCTGTCAAGAAAAATAGCAAACGGTGGGTAAACAAATTACTGTTGAGCAATTGATAGAACTTCAAATAATCATGACGACATCCAGGCAATCAGAGGCGAGGCGGAGGACGAGAAAAATTTAAGGTGTGGCGAACTCTTAAGCATAAAATTTGTTTTGATGCAAAAGCAAATCTAACATGGACGCAGCGATTTGGTGCTCGAGCTCAGCTGCTCCCGCAGCGATTCGATCCTTACTCGGGATTCACAGAATTCGGCCTGACACGCATGCACGGGGCTGCAGAAAAATGGGCTACGACGCGTATTTGGTACTCCATCCGTTCTGAATTACTGGTCGCAAGTATGGATGTATCTAGATATATTTTAATTCTAGATGCATTCATTTATGCGAGGAGTAATTTGGAACGGGGAAGTAGAAAACAGTGCTAGTTTGTGGGCCCAGAAAGTAATGGTTGACGGACCCCTGCGCGGGGCTCTGACTGGTCCGTGGATCAGGTCGGCAACTATTTGGGCTGAGCCGTGGAACTCCTACAGGCCAGTGGGTCGATGTTGTGCCGTCCAAACCACCAACTGGACCCGTCGGATGGGCAACACTCAAACCCAAACCCTCGCCTAGGACGTTCTCGAAAGCTTCGGCAGCCATGGACGGATTCCTCCCAGGTCTGCGGAAGGCTCGGGTTGTTCCAGCCGGCTGGCGGTGGAAGATGCCGGGATGGAGTTCCTGCTTGATGCCATCGACCAGTAAGTGAACCCTGCCCGTCGGCAGATCTATAACTTTCGCAGATTTGCGTTTCTTATTGGCATAGCAGATGGCTATCGATGAGCCCCGCTCCACTCCGTGGTTGTGACTTGCAGGTTCCCGCTCTCGGTACGAGTTCGCGGACAGCTTGGAACATCCAGATCCGGTTCCTCTGGCGGTGCTGCCGCGGCGTGATACCTCCCCTGTTACCCCGGCGGATTCAATGCTGGCTCCGGGTGCGGGCGACATGAAGGGGCTGATATCCCACGGAGGCCGCATGGCCATGGCGACGGCTGCCTTTTCCGACGAAGCGCCGGGTTGGACATAGAGGTATGTCATTAAGGTTGTGCCGTGCTCAATTTTATTGCAAATGATACTGGTGTCTAACAAACTGCTGCTATGGTTTCGTGCGCAGCTATGTACTCTATGCTGTGGTAGCTACTTGTATTTACGATTTTTGTAACATTCGTAGATGGATCACGTGGTCATGTGTGAAATGACTGGGTCATACAGAGATAGTTAGTTTGCCATGTGATGTCTGCTTTATCATCTGGAGGCTTACCATCTATGGTTCTTTACTGTAAATTCAGATTACGCGTCGGGAGTGCACCACAAGACAGAACGCCAGGTCCATCCAAGACGAGTGCGTTGGAGCAGTCAATTCACAAGTACGCAGAGGAACCAATGGAAAGTGTGCTGGAAATTGGTTTCGGGATAAGGTACGGAAACAGCAGGGTTAAAAACTTGATGTGCACAAACGGGAGCAGCCGAATGCAATACCGTTTCTTTGGTGATGTGATCACAATCGACACAACCTACAGGACTGTGCGACATTCTGTTTGGGCTTTTCGTAGGGGTTAAGAACCATTTTGAAAGCATCATCCTGGCTGGCGTTGTAATGCGAGATGAGCAGGTGGAGAGCTTCGGCTGTTTTTTTTTCTGAATTTATACGTAAGATGGGTGGACCGACACCTAAGACAATCCTGACAGGTAATTGGTCTCATTCTTGTTGAGCATGAGTACATTGTTATTTAGAGATTGAATTAAAAAAATATGTGCGAGAGATGTTTAGTGCATAACTGATGTTATGGTTGACAGACCAGAACAGACCTATGGAGGTGGTGATCAGCAAGGTTTACCCAGACAGTGTACACTGTTGGTGCAAGTGGCACATTCTAAAGAACGCTAAGGAGAGCCTAGGCCCGCTGTACATAACATGAGTTAGTTCCAAGCAGAGTTCTATAAAGTTGTCACCCACATGCTGACTACAGATGAATTCGAGACAGCCTGGTGTATGCTGCTCGATCTGAACTGGCAGCAGAGGAATGGAGGATGTTGGGCTTGAGTTCCTGCTTGATGCGGTGGACGGGATGGTTTCCGAAGATCTGCAAGTTTTTGGGATTTGTTTTTTGAGCTGGCAGATCGCTAGAAGAAATGCTTAGTCTGGGCCTCACCGTCGGCCATATCCGTCCATGACTTTGTCACCTTTCAAGTCTACGAAATCAGAATGAAGTGGGCAAAACCAGACTTGAAAGGTGTTCTCTGCGCCAAGATGACAAACACACAATGCAGCGAGAGCGCGGATCGCATGTTGAAGACATCTCCTGCTAGCCCGATGCACATTTTCGTTAGGCAGTACATGAGGTTGCAGATTGACTATGAGCGTGAGGAAAGCTATAAGGAGAAGAGGACCATGATTGTAAGTACACTGCAGTTGCTTCGAGTACTTTTAGAATCAGACACTAGCTCTCCTTCCCACCACTACCAAGCACCTACTTTTGTAGTATTTATAATGTACTAAAACATCAGAACTCTGTGACACAGGGTGGAGCTGTTAGGAGAACTAATCTGGTAACAAAACAGCATGCAAGCAAAATTTGCACTAGGACTATGTTTGAGGAGTTCAGTCGTCTACTAATTGAAGGAATGGCTACAATGTCACAGAGGTAGAGAAGATGAGGAGGTATGTGACAACAAACAATAATGCAGCAAAAAGAGAGAAATGGAGCAGAGTTGTGTACTAGGTGACCGTAAGTGAGGACCAGTCAGAGTTTACGTGCGAGTGTGGACAATTCGAGCACACTGTGATGATATGCTGCCATGTGCTAAAGGTAAATTCCCAATTCTTCGTCATATGGTGTCCAAAGCTGAATTTGTTGTTAAGAGATTTAGCTGTTAGTTTGAAATTGAGGTCGGAGAAGACACAGTTTGAACACCTTGTTCTCCTGGCATGGATCGTGGATCCTTTTTTAGTGAGTAGCGCACCATTAGCAGAGAAGAGGAATGGTTTGGGTTTCGAGGACCGCTTGGCAAACTTGCCTGCTGGGAGATTGCCTGGAAATGGAGAGGTTGCCTTTGTTGGTGGCAACGATGTTGACCATAGGGACTAGCACCTCCGGGCAAGCAGAGAGGGGCCAGGGAGGCTGACGAACAGCAAGGGAAAACGCCTTACGAGGGTCTGAGATAGAGGACTAGGTTCTGTAGAAGGCCACAAGTGAACCACTTGCCCGGACAGGAGGGATGCCCCCCCAAGAAACCACGAACGCCTTGTTGGAAATTGAGTTGTGATATTTAAGTTTGTGTTGTGTGTTCTTGTTCGGCTTGGATTTTCTAGTGTGTTTCAGTGAGCATTGCTCCATGCTTGTTCCTCAATTTTTGAGGTATGTAAAATCCTGTATTATTGAGAAACAATAATGGTTATGTTCCGGCCATACAATGTTCTGGTTATCTGCATCTTAAAAATGACTGAATCTTCATGGGTTGATCCTCACAGTGCTATCCTTGCTTGTATTGCTGGCGATACTTGTCCATCGTGCGGGTTACCATTGCGTAAGTTCTTCAGTGTCCTGCGCGCACCGTGTTATTTCAAAATACTGCTGGTTGAGTAAATGTAACTTGAATAAGACAGGTAGTTGGGGTGGCACCGTGTTATTTCAAAAATTGAACTGCCGGTTGATGCTATACCTTCCTTCCTGGCTTCAGCATTGTTGTAGATTCAAATCAAGAAGCCACGAGGGCACCTTTAAGAAATTGCACCATCGGCGGCTGAATCCGCTGCGAGCAGTATGACGAGGAGGTCTGAAGGCGGTTGCTCTGGCGGCGGATTATACTGTCAGGTACGACTGCTTGTGGTAATCGTTTCCTTATGGAAGTTTTGTTGCTTGGGTTGGCATTCAAATCTGACTTCGTTTGCAGACAGTTGTGGCTTCGTGTATGGAGTCGGCGGCGAGCGCTGGAGCAGGAACAAGCAACCGGAGGTAGGAGGCCAGGTCGTCGACGAGGTGAAGTGTCAACTCTAGTATGGCGTGGCTCGGGCTAGGCGGACGGCCGTTACAGAGACCGAGCGAGGAGACGGCTCGGGCCCGCACAGGAAAATAACTGAGCCGTCCGAGACCTTGCTGGTCCGCACCTATAGTACCAGTTGTCGTCGCAATCAATGCGGGCCTGCACTGGCCTTATTTTAGTACTACGATACATGATGATATATAAAAGAAGAGAATGCATCAGCGTGCACGTATCCACATGTGAACATACGGGGTTGATTTCGGAAGCATCTGAGCCCGGGCTCAGAAACGAATATTCGATCTAACATCATCTCTGATGTTGGGGACAATTCTATAAATTGATATTTTTTTTGAGATATTTATGAAGAGAACCACCCTGCTTTCCACCTTCTGACGTGTATCAGAAACAATAAGAAATAATGAAGCATCGATCGTGAGTAACAAACAAGCAATGACCAGCAACATTCCTCTTCTCAAGATAACAACCGAAGATGAGAAAAACAAACACGAGATAGTTTCTTGGCTTGCTGGACGTGAAGGGCGCGGAGCTGGCGACCGCCGCGCCGTGTCGCCGTCCGCTAGGCCGCAGCCACAGCCGCCGCTCGCCGCGCCTTGCGCGGCTGCGCCCAGCCACCCCTGTCGCTTGCTCGACATCCACAACCGCCCTCCACGGCTCCGCTGTTCACCACCGTGACGCCGTCCCGCCGTCCACCACTCCGCGTCTCCGCCTGGTCCTGGCCGTCGTCGCCGCCGCTCTAGCTAGGGTTCTTGCCGGCTGGCTGCCTACGCTGCGTGCGTGTACTGGACTGGTGCGCTGGCTGCCTGGCTCGATTCTTTCGTGTCTTACCGGCGGTGAAGTCGTTCGCTTAGTCGCTTAGGTTAGGCCTAATTATACGTGGCTGCGTGGCCCATATAAAGCTGCGACGGCCTTCTCCTTTTATCAGCGATTTTTTCTGCTCCAGCTCAGCCGTCGATCGAGCGTATACATAGGTATAAAATGTTTTTCGCTCGGAATCAAGGTGTGACGGCTGCCACACCTTGCCCACCGGAGGCCTACACCACTGCAGGCAATGATCATTATATAGGCATCACGTCTAAGATTAGTAGACCGACTCCTGCCTGCATCTACTACTATTAATCTACACATCGACCGCTATCCAGCATGCATCAAGTGTATTAAGTTCATGGAACAACGGAGTAATGCAAAAAGAACGATGACATGATGTAGACAAGATCTATTTATGTAGAAATAGACGCCATCTTGTTCTCCTTAATAGCAATGATATATACGTGTCGGTTCCCCTTCTGTCACTGGGATCAACCACCGTAAGATCGAGCCCATCACAAAGCACATCTTTCCATTGCAAGATAAATAGACCAAGTTGGCCAAACAAAACCCAAATATCGAAGAAGAAATACGAGACTATAATCAATCATGCATATAAGAGATCAAAGAATACTCAAATAACTTTCATGGATAAAAAGGTAGATCTGATCATAAACTCAAAGTTCACACTGGTAGAAAAATGGCCTATAGTCCCGGTTCGTAAGGGCCTTTAGTCCCGGTTCCTGAACCAGGACTAAAGTGTCGGTACTAATACCTCCCCCCTTTAGTCCCGGTTCAATCCACTAAAGGCCCTCCACGTGGGCAGTGCGCAGAGCCCCGTCAGGAGACCCTTTGGTCCCGGTTGGTGGCACCAACCGGGACCAATAGGCATCCACGCGTCAGCATTTCTATGGCTGGGGTTTTTGTTTTTTTTTGAAGGGGAGGGGGGGTTGGGGGTTTTGGGGGGTTAATTTAGGTGTTTCATATATTGTGTTAGCTAGCTATAATTAATAGAGAGAAGTGTCCTCTCTTATGTCCGTGCTGGGTCGACGCTACGTACTATACATACGTATAGAGAGGACTAGACACGCTGGCTAGCTAGTAAGCAAACGAAGGAAACAGAAGATCGTGATGAACATATATGCATACAGAGAGAAGTGATATCGACCACCTCTCTTTCTCCGAGAGATTGGTCGAATAACAAGTTCTCGTATATCTATCTGACACTACCGGCTACATATATACAGTAATTATCTCTTACAAATATAATCATACGGATTCAGGGTCAACATGGAATTCTCCGTCTTCAGGGATCACGTGGTCAAGAAAGAATGCCGCCAATTCCTCTTGAATTCCTCGCATGCGAGCTGGTGCTAGGAGTTCATCCCGCTTCCGAAACATCTAATTTAAAGAAGGGGGTCAATACATATATATATGAATGAATGAAACTCAACACAAATGATGGTAATAAAATAAAATTGTGAATGTTGTTATTTACGTACTTCATATTGTTCGTCAGTGTAGCCCCGCTCACAGGTCGTGTGGCGGATGGACTCGCAAACATAGTATCCACAGAAATCATTCCCTTGTTGCTGCCACAACCACTTTACAAGAAATAGAGGTTAATCAAACTGATAAGCAAGAATGCCAAATGGTATTGATGAAACTAGCGCTTGAATGACTAGTAGATGCGCTTAAAATGCTACTATAGCTAGTACTTACTTTCGGGTGTCTAAATTGCAGCTCCTTCGGCAATCCCGGAGCTTTTCTGGTGAATTTTCTCCAAACCCTGCCGGACAAAGAAAACAATTACTTGATATATCAGGAAATGAACAAAGTTGTTGATATAGTGGATAATGATCGATTTAACTTACTTCTCGAGTATTTGAGTCATGTCTGCATAGTCCTTGGGATCTTTTCGTCTTGAGTCTAAGACGGTTACTAGTCCCTGCTCAAGCTTAATATGTAGGAGAATATAGTGGAAACTGCACACGCATGCATAACTCATCAATTACATTACTATAACCTTGACTAATATATAAGGGAAACCGAATACGCACAAGACAGTAACACTCACTTGAAGTTGTAAGGAAAGAGTATTATATCTTTGTTTTGATTTATTATCAACGATTCTAGCATGCTGGCCTCGGTTTCTGCGGCATGAAATTTAACCTGAGTTGCATCTATGAGATATGTGTTAATGAACCCAATATCACCGACTTGTCTTTTCTTCAATTCGGCGATCTTCAATCTGCATAATATAGTGAGGATGATTATAAATACATGCAATGAAAGAGCTGAGCTATATGGAGAGACTTAATGACAGAAGTAGTAGTACTTACAGACAGTAGCAGGTGACCGTTGCTTTATCGAGGGCCAATTGATTGAAAAGCTGATAGAACTCCTCAAATGGAACATGCAACAGATCAATTCCAACGAGGTCATGCTCCTTTTTAACTTTCAAATACAAAGTACTCCTCCCCCCAGAGTCTCTGCAGATTTTCAAGTACCAATCATGCAATCTTCGCATCATCGTTGATAGAGATCTTTCATCTTTGACGAGAGGCTTCCCGTACTCGTATCTTTGTATCTGCACGTCCATGGGTTCATAATGTACTTCGTCGGGCAGGTAATCTGCAAGATTGCTATAACCGGGCACCATCCTCGGATCATTATCGATGTTGTGGCTAGGCACCTTGAGCGGGGGGCACGATTGCTTCGCTTGTTCGCCGAGCTGGGCAATTTGTTTCCCAGCTCGTCGTTCTTTCAGCCTTTGATCACTGACAGTACTTCCCGACCACTCCGCTTCGGCAAATTCCTTTCCAATAATGCGGTCATAGTTTCCTTTCGGCGGATCAGACTTCGGTGGTTTTGTCAGGGCAGCCAGAGTGCGCTTCACTTTCACCCGATCTACCTTCTCCTCCGGAGGTGGATGTTTCTTTGCTTTCACCCCTTCAAAGAATTTCTTCACTTCTTCTCACGCGATCTCGGCGTTCTCCTCCTGGGTCCTCTCGTATGGTAACTTCTCTGGAGTCTTCAGAGAAGGACCGAATCTGTATGTCCTCCCGCTTCTGTTTGTACTGCTAGACGCCAACCGAGCAGAAGTAGCGGTTGTCTTCTTTACTTGCTTAAGCAGCGGAGGAGAAGGACTACGACGCGCCGGAGCAGCTGGAGCGGCGGCAGGTCTCTTCCGCCCTTGCTGACGAGGCGGAGAAGGAGGAGGCTGGCTGCTCGGGCGCGTCGGCGCAGGCGGAGAAGGAGGCGGAGTGTCGCCGCGCGC